GGAAACATGTAGGAGACATCCTGGTGCCAATTACAACAGAAGATCCACCAGCACGAGAGGTAATACTAGAAAGCATATTTTGTCTCTGCACCAAAGGTTGTGGTAGTGATAAGTGTGGATACCGGAAAGCAATGTTGAACTGTTTTTCGGCATACCTCCAATGCCAAGGGAAAGACCAGCAAACATTTTTCACCACTGAGGATGAGGATAATATGGACAAAGAACCCTTGCCAGGACCCTCACAGCCAAAGAAGATGAATCCAGAGAAAGTTGAGAGTTTAAAATTAAGAAATTATTGAAGTAAAATAAAATTAATGATCTTATATGTACGTTTTTTAATTTAATGCTTAGTCAAATAGTTTAAACGATATGAATGTGTAAATCTTCTCTCAAAAATTTTCTTTTTTCCAGAGCGTGCTGCTCGGGAAAGTGAATATAAATGTTTCCCTACCAGGTATCGTTCTAGACCAATATAGAAGAAATATAAACTCAAAAGTGGGACCTTCTCTGTCTCCCCCCTCCCTCAGGCTCAACTCCTAGATGTCAGGTCTTTTAGTATGTCCACTCCTCCCTGAGCACCCTGAATGAGTTTCTAAAGAAATAGCTTAGGTACCTGTTCACGCACTTTACACTTCCTTTATTGAGTGGACTAATAGATATGTGTTCCATTTATCAAAGAATACAGCAAGATACGTATATAATACAAAAGTTCAAAGTTTGCACCGCAACTGTCTCTTCAATGTACAGTTCAAACCTTCATTATTCAAAGACTATATAGCAAATTAAATACGACCGTTATCAACGTCATGTCACATTATATATTTTTTCTCTTTATAAAGAAAAAACCGAAGTTTCGTTATTAAATTAAATCATTAAACTGATAGTAACGAGTCAACAATATGTCGGACTAAATAACGACTTGTAAATTAGCACGAAGTGCCAAATGATAATTTCAAGTCGATAAATAGAAATTGATATAGCACGGTGTACCTGTGCAGGTTAATGTACATGACATTATTATCAATTTCAAGTAAAACTTGATACATATTATCCGGTCGAGTGACCATGAAAACTTTTCCACTTTATTTTTTAGATCTTTATTTATAGTTATAAAGTGACAAATGGTGCCGGAATACCACATACTAAGTGTATAGATTCCCTAAAATTAATGGCAATCACTATTTTATTTGATTATATTTTGTGTGTACCTACATTGTTGGTTGAACTCAGGGTGTTGATGATATAAAATCCAACGACACATAACATCGAACTTTATTCTAGTACTTTTTAATACTGAAATGATCATTTTTATATCATGCGAATTTTATATAATAGTATTGCAATGTAAACCGTTACACAATATATTACCTAGTCTTAATGTTAAGACAACGAAAAATAAATAAAAAAATAGAGCACAAAATTGAGGAAACGGCACAGTCCGCTACAAAATATTTGATGTAGGGATGACATAACTATCATAATTATTGGTGTTGAACGGCTTTAGTAGAGCAAAAACGAAACATTAAATTTATTTTATTGGGTATTAAAGAATTAATAAAATTCCAACAAGTAAGTGCAGCCGGTACTTTCTAATTCAAGAATAAGAATCAAAATATTACATACGTGACTTCTCACACGCGTTCCGCAACAAGAGAAGCTGATAAAGATTAAATTGTACTTTTTTTTAAGTAAATATACAGGGACATTTTAAATTAATACTAACTATGTATAAGTATAATTTACAATGATTATATATGTTTACTACGTTATTAATATTACCTAACCTAACAATTTGCTAAGTGAGTTGGTGTTCCTATTTAGTGACTTAAGATAGAATAGAATAGAAGAGCCGGAAGTGGCAGATATGATTCATATCTACACTGACGCACATACAGGTATTTGCACGATCTACGCGGCCAAAAGTCCCAATAACAAAATAACAATAACATTCATAATAACGAGTTCCACGAACAGAGGACGAATCCGGGAACAATACCCATGCCCATCTACCTGCTATCTCGCACCCCCCCAAGCCAAGCGTCATTCAGAATTTGACCGTTTTACCTAGTGTAGGTATCTGTTGTCGGTGCTTTTCTAAACGTTAAACTTCTAAAGTGAATTTTTATGTTATTAAGTTCTACTTACGAATTGAAAGTGATGGATTCTAATGGACAAGGTAAGACACTTCCAAATTACATTAATAAAGTCATGATTATCCATTATACAATATAATTTTTTTATAACAAAAAATTCATTTTCATACAGTGATTTTCTTAAATATTTTTTTATTATTGTGTTTTTGTTTATGTATCGGGGTAGATCGAGCTATATTTATCATTATAGGTTATTATATGATCCTTTTCCTTATTAATGCTAACAAAAACATCTCTGGAAACGTCCGGATAAATACAGCTTTGAGGCATTAATTAAAGATATTTAGCAAAATTTGTATAAAATTGGAAATGTTTATTAGCGGCTTTTAACATAGTGTACGTTTGTTTTAGGTTTGGAGGGTGCATCAGGAGTAAGGATTGTAACCCGACAATATTTATATGACCGCTTGAAGACAGAAAATTTGCTTAATTTTAACGCCAAATTAAACTATCTAAAAGATCAACTTTTGTGATGTGAAGGTTATAATGAAGATTAAATTATTAATTTGAAACGTGGTTTTGCCCATTTCAAATCAGAAATTAAACAAAGGTGGACCAAAGCTCATTATAAAGAAGATAATTTTATAAAATACAACCGATCTTGGCTGGAAGGTACTTTTGAAATACCTGTCGTTGGAGCTTCACAAAAACGGCAAGGTCGACCATCCAAATCATTTGAAGATGCAAGTGAGAAAAACAAAAGACGAAAGACTAAAGAACTGCGTTCTAATTTTGAAAAGGAGATCATAATACATGCTGCGAAAGTGGAGCTGTGAAAATCTGGTACAACAGAAATCATAAGAAAAACCAATAAGAAGTTTTTTCCATGCTAAAGTGCATTACAAAATGCCAATAAGAAATGTTACCCATCTCAAGAATCATTAATTGTAACGAGTACCAGTGCCGAAGCCAAGATACAGCCTCTAATAGATGTTGCCGTTAGCTTTCATCGGAGTAACGTAAAATAAGTATTAATAACTTTATAGGAGAAATAGCGTGATTGCCTAACTATAATTAGTAAATGGGACTGCGATAGGTCTCAACAATCACATTTCAAACAAAAAATAGAAAGTGACATTGATTCGAATTCAAGCATATTCCAAAGCTGTTTTGTGCCTCTTCAATTAGTTTCTGGAGATAAAAATAAAAAAAATTTATGGAATAATCCTTTTCGCCGCGATTTTGTCGATCAATAAGATTCCGTTTTATCAAGGAAACTAATGATGTAATTGAAGAGGAACTCTATTACCTCTTTAGTTCCAACATAGGTCGACCTAGGAGGGAAAAGTTGTTAATCAAGCACAAATTTATCATGACCATGGTAGATGAAAAGGTCTGCAATGCAGCTACAGGCACAAAGTCTACGAGTAGGTGCTACATATGTGGGGCAACCTCGAAAGATTTTAATAAATTGGATTACAAAGGAGAAGTGAATTTTACAGCCCTTGAATTCGGCATATCTGTGTTACACGCTAGAATTCGATTATTTGAATGCATTCTACACTTAGCATATAAACTTAAAGTGAAAAAATATAGGGGAAGAAAATCGAAAGAGGAGAAAGACCTAGAAGATCAAACCTAAAGAGTGATACGAACAAGGTTCCGCACTGAAAGAGGTTTACTAATAGATATACCTAAATCCAATTTGGGGAATACAAATGATGGTAATACTAGCAGAAGGTTCTTTAAGAATCCCACATTAGCTGCAGAAATAACTGGCATTACCTAGGAGTTGATATACAGACTAAAAGTAATATTGGAAGCAATTTTAAGCGGATTTGAAATTGATCCGGTAAATTATGAAAGATGTGCTTCAGAAACTGCTCGACTTTATGTTAAGTTGTATGATTGGCATCCTATGACGTCAACAATGCACAAGATTTTTGTGCATGGTGCAGTCATTATTGAAAAGGCATTGTAACCAATCGGACAGCTTTCCGAGGAAGCAGCTGAGGCTCGCAATAAACATTTCAGAAGTTACCGACAAGATTTTGCGAGGAAATTTTCCAGGGAAAGTTGTAATCAGGACATTTTTAATCGCCTTCTGCTTAGTTCAGATCGTGTGCTAAGTAGCATGCGAAATGTAAAAAAAGGAAAGCAAAAACATTTTTGCCTGAAACTTGGCCATGTTTGTATCTGCAGAATCCCGTATTGAAACAGGAAGTTCATCAGAGAGCGACGAAGAAACTTAACAAAAATTTTTTGCCGACCTAAAATTTTGTATTTTTTTTGTAAATATATAATTATTTTTAGAAAATATATAGATTTGTTGTAAAAATAACTTATTTTATTTATTTACGTTGTTTAGATACCAAATAAGCAAAAAAATAATTTTTGTTGCGTAGATCGTGCAAATACCTGTATGTGCGACGGTTCTAAAACAAAACAAGGCCCAGATGTGGACTATACTCCAGAAACTTAAACCTAAACATAGAGTGGGCTGTGAGCAGTACTGCCAGTGTAGGGATTCTCATAGCAGCAAAAGAAATCATCAAAGATAATATCACTAAAAGAAACATGCTATACAGATAGCAGACAAGCACTACTTACCCATGGAGAGACCACGAATTTATTCAGGGTTGGTACTAAAATATCACGAAGCTTTGGCCGAAGTATTTATCAGCAATGTGGTCAACTTATGAATAGTGATTTTAGATAACTAACCTTTTGCAATGAATTGCAAAGTGTAATACATACAGCAATTTCTCTTGCAGCAAAAAAAATAGAAGAACTGTAATTTAGAATCAGAAAGCTAGTTTTATACGAAATTAAACTTAAACATTTTTCTAACTTAGCTCAGCTTAATTGCATATTTGCAAAAATGTAATTTTATTCTGTAAAACTTACCTTCTTCGCTACCATTTTGTTGCTCTGGTTTTTGAGTTGGCGTATCATCTATTTCTGGTTCTAAGGTGTCTACAAATAAAAGAAAACGTGCAAACATTCATCGAGCAAAATAAAAATGATAAAGCAAAAATAACAAAAACGTATTCTTTAATTAACAACATCACGACACAAGTGCAAGAGAAATGAACAGTAAATATGTTGCCATTAATTTTGACATATACAATTTATTGGAAAACTTAAAGAACACGTTGAAGACTAAGGGTGTTGAATTAGAAGATTAAAAAACTAATACTAATACTATTTTTTAGCAATGATAAGCTGTTTTAAAATGCTATACTTTTTAAAAATTTGATGAATCTTATAGTTGAAAAGATGATAGAATTAAGACTTCAATATTAAAAAAAAAAGTAAGGAACAGGCAAATTACAACTTCTTGAACCATAAAAAATTATATTCTTGAGGAAAAAGGTCTTGACGTCTACTTAATTTATCATGCAAATAACTAAATAGCATAATTAAATAAGAAAAACATTCATTAATATCTACTGTTAAAGGCCTTTTTACAAAAACGATGCATGTCCAAAATCAACTTTTTTCAGGAAACATCCTAATAGACTTTGCAAAAATGTTATATATTTTTGATAGTAAATAGTTCTGTTTCTCTTGTATGAAATCACCATTTCTGTAAGTAAATACAACAATTGGTCACTAATTGTCACAGGTAACAATTTTTGGACATGTGTTGTTTTAAAAAGAAAACCTTCTGTAGAAAAATATATAAAACAAAATAAAAAAAACTAAACACATCTAAAGTAATTACTAAAAAACATTTAAGATCTATATAGATTGATATTTACCATTTGCCCGTTGGCGAGCTTCATCCAAAACGGTTTGTTTTGTTTGTTTAACCACCAATGTTTCGAATCTAGCATCATCAACAAGAGAACGCCTCCTTGCAGGGTAGCCATTCTGCAACAAAAACAGAAAAATAGTTTATTTTTTGGTTCCTCTAAACACAGTCGTTCGTCAATTCGATATAGTAACTAAGTATTCGTAATTTAAATGTAAAGACAACTATAACTCCCTAGTGTAAACATTTCATACTCGCTGGTATACAAAGATAATACAGAAAACTGCACGCTCTAAACCAAGATATAAAATAATTTTTCTGTTTATAATATTCGTTTGTTTACTTTTAAACACATTAAATTGATTATATCACTTACAATTTAACAATATTCAATACTTTTAATGCTATATAGATCTGGTAGGTAAGCATGTTTTATGTCATTGCTTTTATACTGTAACTTTAAATAATTCGTCATATAATTTATTGAATACAACTTTTGGTATCGGGATTATGGTTATTCACATAAATTGGCTTACGTAATTGTTTATTAATTTTTTTGTTTCTAAATGTCACTGTCAACATAGGTGCTTTAAAATAAATGTAAAAAATTAGTTTTCATTTTTTTAACTCTTCATCTGATTGCAAGAAGTGGCACATAACGTATCACTTTTTGTAGTAAGATAAGGAACTATTTCTAAAAATATCCATATTAAAAATTACCTGTTTTGAAGTTTAAGGTAAAATGAAGGTCTAATTTAAGGAACATTTTTTTTATTGTCCATGTTTCAATGATTTATTTTAAAATCAACAATTCAAACATCATTTTCTTTAAACTAAACCTTTATTTCCTGACAAACTGCTAAAATATTAAAAATAGCCAATATTGGACCTGCAGTCAGTCATCAAACTATATGATGTCTAAGTGACTCAGGGATGTTTAGAGCTGTGTAACTATTATTGATTCTGGCTCTTTGTAGGTAGAAGTTAAAAGGCCATAATTATAATTGGAGGCAGACAGTTAGTGGGCCATTATTTCCCCAGATCAAATTTTTTATTGGGATATATTAAAAGAAGGTTACACTGGCTAGGTCAAATAGAAATAATGAAAGAACACAAGATAGTAAAGTAGGTAGCTTGGAGAATACCAATCTGATGGCGATGGAAGAAAGCTGTCATGACAAATGAAAGGAAGAAAATTTCAAGAAACATGAAAAGTAATTCCCAAAATAAGAAGTGAAAAGACATAGCAAAGCTCTGAGTCTAAATGGCCTGATAAACTACTCGTATAAAAAGTTATCACAAAGTAAGGCATATATTTCAATAGGAAGTAAAAGAAATTCGACTGCTTAAATAAAAGGATTTTTTTACGTTCATCAGTGGTCAACGATATATCGTCCATTTTGCTGCTGTATAATTATCAACCGTTTCTCCAAATTGTACACACCATTATTCAGCATTTTTGCTTAAATTGTTTGTTCCCTAATAGAGTTTCTTAATTCTTCCAATATTATTAAATAACCCCAAAACCAGTTATCCAGTGGGTTAGGATCAGGCGATCTTGGAGGCCACAATTTAACAACATGCCTTCTAATATTTCTAAATCACGATGATTTTTTTTAAGACTTGTATCAGCAGTTGACACGATATCTCTTTTGTTTTCCATAGATACAGTAAAATACAAAACAATATAAAATTTATAAAATTATATATAGTATACCCTTTATTTTATGATGACCCCCATATATTAGAATACTATATTTAATTAGACCAAACGACTTTTTGTTTTTTGTTCACATTTTACTCAGATTTCTCTTATAAATTTAAGTCCCTATTCGTTCTCAAAACTTATCTTGTTAACGATTTGAGGCAGGAAGTTAATTTCCTATCTTTTACCCACTTCCTTCTGGTAGAGACAATACCACTGCTAGCTCTGCGTGTAACCTTAGCAACTACCAAAGAAAGAAATAAACGAATTTAATGCCACATCGATTATTATAATAGCTGAATTTTTAAATGAACAAAAAACTGAATAAGTCAAAGTTGTTAGCAAAAATTATGTCCACTTAATCAGAAATCGAAGAATATTTTTAAAGGGTGTGTAATTTGAAATTAAACGTTGATATAAAAAATATAAAATATTTTGTTTTCAACCATATTAGAACACACCCTCGTCTCGGGTAGATACTGGTATTGCCAGACCGATCTCTTCTATAAATTTCATAGTTGGGTAGATTAAGCTTAGCTGTAAACATTTTGCCGTTAGAACTGTAATGTCATAGCTGCTTAAATTAAAAAGTATAAGTGATTTTAATGTGGTGCGAGACCCTATAAGTGATTTTAATTTAGTGCAAGACTCCGTACATTCTGATAATAAAGGAGTTCATCTTGATTTTTGTTTACTTGCTTTATTAGTTTTTTGACGCTATCGATGGAACTCCATTTTTAAGTTTATTAATTATATTTGGATTGCCTTCAGCAACTCTTTTTTTATACTGATCCCTTACTTCCATTTCGATCTCTCTCTGATTTAATGTACGATCAAAATTAATAAAAAATTGCATTTATTTGAATTTGTAATGTAATTTTCAGTGATCTATGACCATTTTTATTCCTAGTACCCGCTCTTTGAACTTTTACTATAGGAATGGTTTCTTGAACAATGCTTTTAGATAATTTATTAGCCTCAGCTATATTATCATTTGACTCGGCAAAGTTGAATAAGATGATGTGATTTGCTCTCTTTTTCCTATCAATTAACTCCTTTAATTTATCTACTATTTATTTTAAAATGTTATTATTTTAAATAATAATAGATTTTCCTCTTTGGAATCCATGTTGAGTAGAGGTATAATTCCATTCATAGCAAGAAACTTAGTAAGGCGTTTACTCATTGCAATTTCAAAAAATTTTGAGAAGCTGGTTAGCAGACTTATTGGTCTATAGTTTTCCATAAGGAAAGGATCTCCTTTCTGAAAAGAATTATTTATTATGTAACATAAAGGCTCAAGAATATATGAAGCAACATTTTTAATAAGCACATTATGAATATCATCTTCACCTGCAGAGAGCTTGTTTTTTAATTTTTTTATTATTTTCGATAGCTCTTTTATTGTCACATCTGCTAGATATATAGATTGTCCATATCTAGGTCTCCTAGAATTTGCGAAGTAGCTATTTTGAAGTAATTATTAAATTTATTGCAGGCTTGTTTAGGAGAAGTTACAATTTGGTCATCAACTTTAATTCCATTGATAGTAGCCAAGTTTTTATTAGACCTGCCCAGTTCCGTATTAATAACGTTCCTTTTATTATCTGATTCATTAATTTTTTTGTTGTAGAGATGTTTTTTCTCAGATAGCAGCAGTTTAGAGTACTTAATACCTTTTATATGTGTTAAAATCTTCTTTACTAATAAGCCTTTGTATGTACAATTCTGAAAATAATTTTTAAATTATTTTTTGCTTCGCGTAGTTGTTTTCAAGAATAAAACGTTTGTCACACGGTCTTCAATTCTTCTCATTTCCTCAATTTGTTAAATAATTGCAATAATAAAATAATGGATTATTTTCTTAAATAAATATTTATTGATTCATAAAAAACCTAATTTATATATTAAAATGTAATGATTAAAGCAAATTAAGCATGGTGTTTTTAATAATAAATCATAATTATTGTAAGTCGTGACTAAAAAAAATCATTTGTTATTTGAATACCTGCTATAATAATGTGTTTCCTTTAAACTCTAAAATCAAGGTAATATTGATATTTTTAATAAATTATGATATAATTTTACCAATAATGGAAACATTACAAAACCATTGTAATTAAAAAATAATATTCTACCTTGATCAGAATCATTACTTTTAAACTTGACATTCATAATTTTTTCTCTAGAATATAAATCTGCTTTCATTCTAATTTTCATAAAGAATAGACACTTTTATCCTTCAGCTCTCATTAGCTGACCAATTTAATTATTTTTTTTTAACAAGTAATAGTTACATAAATTACTGATTCAAGATTATTAAAGAAATAAATACCATTCTCCAGTTCCGGGGCTGGGTTTCTAATGTCCCTGAGAAGGGGATAAAAAAATATATTGGTAACACATAATAATATAATGGTTCTGCGAACAGAACCGGACTCACCCAACCGGTTTACTTATACAAAATTATTTAAAAAAAAAATGAAACTAAGTAATAAAATCATCTATTTAGGGTCTATTTATAATCCCTTATTATTAGTATTTATATTAGTATTATGATTAAGCATTACACTGGACTAAATATTCAAAAAGGGTATTTATACTCATTTTATAATTAGCATTAGTGCTTCTTTTTTTCCTAATAAGATATAATTCTTCAGTCAACAAAATGTTGGTTATTGAAAAAATGTGTAAGAGGCCAGTTGTCCAGTTGTGTTCTTAGAATATTTTTTAAGATATTTGAGTTTTAAACGTGTTTTTATTATTATTTTTACTAGTTAATTTTATTTAAAAATATTATTATTCAAAATTAGGTTCAATTAAGGTCATTTTAACGGATTTACGTCTCAAATTTATAACAGATAAAAAGAAACAGAAATTTGAGACAAATCAGACAGAAAAGATGCCTTTGCTTCCTCGTCATTTTTCAACTTTATACTTGGTAAACATTGCTGATATACAAAAATTGTATACAGCGCATAATTTGTACCCAAGTATTATCTGTTGGAACAAAGCTATAATCAACATCTGACAACCTAATCATATGTGTATTGTCAATTGTCATTATCCGTTGTCTACTAAAATCAAAGGATAAATACGTTATTGATTCATTTGATAGAAAGGTTCTGGTGAAGGATCCTGAGGTGCGAATTTCATAATTTTAGCATTAATATATTGAAGTAACTTACTTTTTATAATATTTTAATTGAAATTAAATATGGAAGAATACGTTTCATTTGCTATTTTCATTTATATTATAATAAAATGCAATATTTTGACTGATTTAACCTAACTTTTCATTATTTCCTTCCATAAAACCTAAAATAAAGTGATTCAGGAAATTGTCAGTTCCTGACACATACGGTCCTCGAGTTTGCAACGTTGCTATACCATATTGTTAATTTTTATCAGTCT